ACTCATAGTAGAAAATGAAGAAAACAGAGAAGAAATACTAATTAAACTCATAATGTAAGATTAAAATGATAAACTATAATGTTTAAATCCCAAAATGATCACAAATTTCCTAAAATGAAAAATTACAACGGCTACAACTACTTGAACTTCAAAACTTGACCTAAAATGTGATTCCCGTCTATTTATAGTGGCCCAAAATTCTCTGACAAAAATGCCTCTCGGGAGGTTCTGCAGCCGCACAATTCCATGTGCCGCACATTGCTTCAGCTTGCAGGGACTTGGATTCTGCAGCCGTAAAATTTGGTCTGCGGCTGCAAGTCAGCTTCTGCGGCCGCACAATTCTTGTGTGGTCCGCACTTCATACAAGGCTTCAGTCTTGGTCATTTGTACACTCTCTGAACTTTTTGAACTACCATGATCTATGGCCGCACAATTCATGTGCGGTCTACACTTTTGCTTAAGGTCTGCTGGGCTTTTTCACTAGTTTTTCGGCCGCAGAGGGAATTCTGCGGTCCACACTTGCTTCTGCGGGCTGCACTTTTCGTGTGCTGTGCCCCTTCTTGCCTTGTGAGTCAGAACACTCCTTTTTGAGTCGGATTTCTTCAAAAGAGTCCAAATTTCCAACATTCATGCAGTTTGTACACTTTCATTAGTTTTAGGAACATAAATCAATGCTTTAAGACTTAAAACAAAAGCAAAAATGTACTAATAAGTGGTCAAAATCCACACTTATCAGCGCCCGGATCCATTTCCCCTCCGATCCGCGATGTATGACTGATATCAATCCCGGACCAGCCTCAGCTCTTGATCAATGGTTCTCTTAGACCTGTCATTGGTTCTCATAGGGTAAACAGATCTCGAAGGGGCCTCGAGTTGGTCATCTTCGACCCTGATCTTCGATTGATATCTGTTGTGGACGTCGGCCCAGGTGACTGTTGGGTACTCCACCAAGTTTTGCTTTAGCTGTTGAGAGGCCATGGAACTTCGGGTTGAGCCCTTGAGTAAATGCCTGAATGGCCCAATCATCCGCAACCAATGGCAGATCCATCTGTTTCATCTGGAACCTCGACACAAACTCCTTAAGCATCTCGTTATCCCTCTGCTTGACCTTGAAAAGGTCTGACTTCTTGGTCTCGAACTTGATGACGCCGGCATGGGCCTTTACAAAAGCATATGCAAGCATAGCAAACAAGTCGATAGAATTCGGAGGCAAGTTGTGATACCAAATCATTGCTCCATTGGACAAGGTTTACCTAAATGTTTTCAGCAACACCGACCCGATCTCGTCCTCTTCCAAGTCATTCCCTTTGATTGCACATGTAAAGGAGGTTACATGCTCATTTGGATCAGCTTCGGCACCGCGCTCGGGGGGGAAAGGCTTCTGAATAAATTTTTTGGAGTCCGACCCTTTCAATATCGGAGGTGCTCCCGGATCTGATCGACCCTGGAGTTATACATTTCTACCTTCTTCTCGTTGGCCTCAATCTTCTTCTCGCTAGACTTCACCCGTTTCATCAATGCTTCGAGCATCTTTATCACCTCGGAAGGTTCCTTAGGCCTAAATTCGCTCGGTTCCACAACAACTTGTTTATCCTTCCGAGTGTTTTCCTGTGACTGCTCGGGCTCGACCTTGTTAGGGGCGTGGCTCTGTTTTTGTAGATGTGCTATCACCGCTTGCTGAGCCTACAACATTTCAAAAATCAACCGCAAGCTCACCCCATCACCTTTGCCTTCAGGCGCCTCTTGAGCCATTGGTCGGGGTCTCTCGCGAACGCTGTTTTCGGGATCAGTCGGTAGCTTGATGTTGATGGACACCTGTGTGTTAGCATTGACCGGGTCGGCGGCTAGGACACCATTGGGATCGATAGGGTTCACATCATTGCTAAGCATCATGCTATTATTCTCACCATGATGGCATGACTTAGCGTCAACGTTCAAGTGAGCAGACTAAGAATTTGAGATCCTTCGGCTAACCTGGAATCAAAACTTCAAAGAACAAGCGTAAAATAGGGTGTGTTACGGAGATTCGTATTAAATCACCACTATTATCCATAGCCCCATGGTGGGCACCAAATTGTTTACCTCCAAAAATGGGTAACAATTAAATTTGTACGCGGTTTAAAGGATATTTGATTTAATTCAATACGAATGATCTAAGAACAACAAGTAATTAAGTTAAATATAAAATAAAAGATCAAACCAATCGTAATGTAATGATCAAGCTTGATCTTAGGTTGAACAATGAAATTTGACCTCGATCGGACCCTCGATACCGGCTCGGTTGCAAATAAAGAAGAGAACAAATGAAGAACACTTTGAACAATAGCTAGGTGACAAAAATGAACTTTTATTGCTTTGATTTGCATGTCAACAATTTGTTATAATAAAAGAAACTTTTCCATTTATATAGTAGGAGAATTTCAATCTTAGTACAAGTCTAAATAAGGTAAAATTTTTCTTTTTTCGGTAAATGTCGATCCGCAGTTAATATCAGACGAGATTCACACTGTAGTATCCGGTTGAGGGCGAATATTACGGCTCCTCACTTGTCATGCATAACTGTTCTTGTGTTTCCCGTAGTCTAGAAACTTCACTTGGTCTGGATCTGTTATTTTACCGTGCCCGATCCCATGTACATTGTTCACTCCTCCCGGGTTCCGATACGAAGGGTCCTTCGGCCTTGCTTATAGTTGCACCAGACCGTGCTTTCCTCTTGTTTCCTTATTGGGGAATCGAGGGCAATTTTTGCCCCAGATTTTACCCGTACATAGATAGTCCTCTCGCTTTTCGGAGAGCAGATTTATCGAAGTGATGGGAAGCGATGAATTAACCCCGGCTCCTTCTTCTGTACGGTACAACCGAGTTGACGGGTTAGTGAAACATCCCATTAGTCGCGTCGTTCTGACTTCAGACATGTGTTAGCCGCCGGTTGACCGTCCCCAAATGCGAAACGTCACGCATTGATTACCCCTTCTCTATAAAAGCTTCGGTCCCTTTTTTCACTTTTTTACTTTCCGATTCCAGAGTTCCTTAATTTACCCCCGAGCTTTTCACATATCCTTTAAACTGCGTTTTACCATATTTGGGGGTAGATAGTACTCTCTTTCATATAATGGATTGTTTACCTCCGCATGTTTATGTATGCCAATTGACAGAATTAAGTTAAATGTTTTCGTCTCTTTTGATATATTTTTTTTATTGTCTAACTTATCATTGTTAATTATTAACCTTAGCTTGACATCTGATTATTTCAATCATAAGATATGATTATGTTGAGAGGAATAACGATGCTATACATGTACACGTAGGCTGATTATATCTGTCTGTTAAGTTGAAGTGGTAAAATATGAAAAGTTCAAAATATCTGACTTTCTATATCATGGACAAACCTAACTTCAGAATAAACATAATACCATCAAAAATGAAGAAGAAAAAAACTGAGAGAGATATTGAACGGGGGTGGATATCATAATCATTTCAGTTGCATCATCTCGTCTCCCCAATTTCTGAAACTAATAATACTCTTTTAGGGCATGCGAAGTTGAATATATAAAGTGAGTAAAAGCGGTGATATACTGATATTGACAATTTAATCGTGTAATTTAACTTTCCTCTAAGACTTATTTTGTTAGTATCATATATATATTAAATCAGATAGAGAGAGGACTAATAAACAGTACCCTGACTTTTCTTCTAGACGTAACTTTTGCAAATTTTATTTTAGTGTAAAGTATTGATGACATACTTTCTTTCAAATTAATTGTTTAATAATGGAATAACGTGTATTTGAATAGAGTTGAATGGATATCAAGTGACTTATATAGCAAGTCCCGACTAGTTTGAAGCTACGGTGTAGTTACTTATTGATTAGTTGAACTTTTCTTACCTGCATGTTTTAAATTGAATTGATTTTTTCCTTTTCTTTTCATTTGTTTTTTTCTTTTTAATTTATTGTAAGCACGTGATTGTAGAAAATCTATAAAATCTACGAAATTCAATAGTTCTTTTACTAACTTTGCCATGTAAAGATGGTGTTTTATTTTATATTTATGCATACCATTGACATGATTAGGGACTTGTAAAAATAGATGCAAGATAATAATCAAGAATCAAAGGAAAATGACTTAAACGGACCCAATATTAATTTATTGGTAGAATTAATGTTTGTATCTTTTAAAGGTGTAAAGTTTAACTCCATAAGGCTCATCTCTTTTCGTACCCAATTGGCCAATTCCGAATCATCCTCTCAAGAAAACAAAGGAAAACAGAACAATATTTCTCGAATTCAATCAGATACTTTCACATAAAATAAAAAGGATTAAACAAGTAGGAGTAATTTACTTAAGTTAAATCAAATCTTGACTTTAATCACATTGCACTGCACTATTTCCCGTCAATCCTATTCTGTCTTCCCTATTTCCTTTGTTAACTAAGCACTTCCTCGTCTTAAATTATTTATCACTATAATTTTTAAAAATAGTAATCTCAAATTATTTGTCATTTTAAGTTCAAGATAATTTTTTTTTCTATTTTATCCTTAATAGTAATTATTTTTGAAGATGAAGATGATATATAAATAAATTAAATACTCAGTAAAAAGAAATTATATTTTAAGACATAAATAAAAATAAAATAGTTAAATCTTACTTAAGAGATATATAAAAGACAAACACCACAAATTATTTGAGAGAGTACTTAAATCATTAATATCTCGATTTGTTCATAAAGTAGTTGGTACATTAAGATACCAATTCAAGCCGCCGAAGTCAATCTTTGTCTCCCCAAATGTAATATACCTTTCTTCTTTCCCTCAAGACCAACTATAGTTCTAGATTTCTTTGAATAATAATTCTTTGAAAATTATTTTACTCGTTCCTCATCTTTGAAAAAAATAATTAAAACCAAAGAAAAAAGTCCATTTTCTTGATCTGTTCAAACTTCAAACTACAACGGCGCCGTTCCTTTAAATTTTCTTTACATTTATTTCTAGACGAAAAATAACTTAATCACAAAGCAAAAAACCATTATTAATAACCATATTAGGACTATACTATAGAAGCATTACAACTGAGAACTAAGCAAAAGCTCCGGACAACTTTCCGGCAATACTCCGCCGCGAATCTAGGCTCTTCTCCGCGGTTCTCCGCCGTGAATCTCCTTTATTACTCGGCCTTTAACTCACTGAATTACTGACTTCAACAAAATGGTTCAAGAATCTTTCATATATAGCTTTGTAGCGCGTGGTACAATGGTACTAGCTGAGTATACCGAGTTTACTGGAAATTTCCCGGCGATAGCAGCTCAGTGTTTACAGAAACTGCCTTCTTCAAACAACAAGTTTACTTATAATTGTGATCACCATACTTTTAACTTCCTTGTTGAAGATGGTTATGGTAAATTTTCCTTTTATCTTTCAGTTTTAGCGTCTCCTTTTTGTATTGTTTTTAGTATCTTTTACACTTTTTTTTTAGTTCGATTTGAAATGGGTATTGCTAGATCTTGAGTGGTAGAGTGTAAAAATGGAGTCTTTATTGTATTTTGTAGGTAGAGTTTTAGGAATTTTTTAAAAATTACAGTGTTGCTGGGAAGAAAGGGTATTATGGGTCTTGTGAAAAGCTGGAGCCTTTATTGGATTTAGAGGTTAGAGTTCATTGTTTTTTTACAAATTATTTATGTTGAAAGATTGGTTGGAAGAAAATGTGAGTATTGTGCTTCAGATAATTGGATCTTTGCTTTTTGAGAGGTAAAACTGAAAATTGAAAAGCTCAACAATGATAAGTTTAGCAAGATGTTGAAATGCTTAGAATATTGCAGTCACAAGCACGTATAAGTAAAGGGGAAGTGTAAAATAGCCAAATTATAAGAGAGGCATGAATACAAAGGATACATATAGCTGACTCTGATTAGTTCGGGATTGAGGTTTTGATTGATAGATATTCCTCTCCCATCCTTCCCAGGACATTTACGTTCGTCGGCTGTGTTTCTAAGTTTGAATTTTCTGTCACTTATCTGCATTTATTTTTGTTATGAAAGATGTTTCTGTAAGTATAAAGCTGAGAATTTGGTTTAATACTTGAAAGTTAGTATTATGAGTTGAACGCAGTAGATATAGGATGTGAAATGTCTATGTGGAATCAGTGAGATTCGTTTATCAACAGATGGAATGTTTGGAATTAACTGATGGGAAGTGGGAGAACAACTTTGGCGGATGTTGTGGCCTTTTGTTTGTTGAATAGTCAATATTCTCTATACTTATCAAAGCACAACAGTAGATTCTAATGGTTTATTGAATAGTCAAAATTCTCTATACTTAGCAAAAGAAATCCAGATTCTAACGAAATGCTAGAAAAGAGGAATTGTTTACAGAGTTAACGATGACACGTACTCCATCCTAATGAAGTGTAATTTGTTAATTTTCATTTACAAATAACCAATGATGGGATGTAGAATTGTGAACCCTTTCTCTAGCTGTAACATGATTAAGGTATAACTTGGCTTTCTGATCTCAATGGAAGTCCTACACAACACTACGGGTCAAGATTTTGTACGCTGTAGGTTGAAGACGCTGAGTCTAATGGACAGTCAAATAGAGGGAAATAAATTGTCTTTGGAGGATAAATTCTTCTTACCTTGGGTCATATAGTAGTTAGATTGAGTGGATGTTTGGCGGTCTTACTAGTTCATGTCTCTAGCCTCTGTATATACCTCTGGTTTGGACTGCAGCCCCTGGGTGCTCTTCTATCTGAAAAAGAAAAAGGTTGAAGAAGCTAAGTCATATTTTCTTTCTTTCTTTCTTTCTCTTTATTTTTTATTTTATTTTTTTTGGGTAAAAGGTGTCTCCGCGAATGATTTCACAGAGCCTTTTCTACTTAAATTGTAAAATGATATCAATAGCTATATGTTTGAGCTTGCATGGAAAATGATGTTAATCACTTTTTGGCTGTTTCATTGACCTCCTTTCTCTTAAGTTCCTCCAACTGTCTTATACTATAGGTTGATGCAACAGCTGAACCTTATGCAAGTCTGATTTAATGCCTGTTCACTTTGCAGCTTATTGTGTTGTCGCCAAAGAATCTGCGGGGAAGCAAATTTCTATTGCATTTTTAGAACGTGTAAGAGCTGATTTTAAGAAAAGATATGGTGGTGGTAAAGCAGATACCGCCGTGGCTAAAAGTCTTAATAAAGAGTTTGGGTATGTTGTTTAAAATGTATATTCTTATATCTACTGCAGTTGTATTCTATTACACACAGAAGTATAACGGGTAAAATATGTCAATCTTTTCAGACCTGTCATGAAAGAGCACATGCAGTATATAATTGACCATGCCGATGAGATTGAGAAACTATTAAAAGTTAACGCCCAGGTGTCTGAAGTCAAAAGTATTATGTTGGAGAATATAGAAAAGGTATGCCAAATAAACTGGAAAAAGATGCCATGCTGTATATGATATTATCTGGTGCAATATGGTTCACTCGTTTCTTCATCACATGTATATTGTCCTCTTGCATCCTCTTTGGATTTTGACTAGGATGGATTTTGCCTAGTATCCTGGCAAAAAGTAATTTATTACTCCTCTTCGTGCAGCTAAATGAACGTCTTGGGTAGCAGATCTCTAGTTAAAAATGCAGCTTTTTGGATCCCGCCCAAAACTGTGCAAATGTTTATGGATAATATATGTAGGCATGATATCTGATTAGAAAACATATCCTTAGACCTTACTGTGTACCTAACTGTAATCTTTCAAATCTTCCAATACTAATCTGTCCCTTCTGAAAACTATTGATGGATACCATAAGCCGGTTTAAAAATCAACTTCAAAGTTCCAGGGGTAAAAGAATAATTGGCTTTAAGAAGAAAAGGATAGCATTTTGCTTTCAGAGAAATGAGTTTGCATCTTGGTTTGGGCTTAAAATTAATAAACTTCGCCTTTTTAGGTGCCTTTTCCTGGTCAACCATATGTCATTTATCTATATTATGAATTTATCTTATCAGGCTCCCTTTTTGACTAACAAATCTTTGTTCACAAATGATACCTTAAATCATGTAGTTGGTGTGGACCATTTACGTCAGACTGGATAATTGTTATCAAACTATATCTTTGTTCTATTTATTTTTTGGGATTTAGTATCTGGTAATCGTAGCATCCCTTGTTCCTTAAGGGATCCAAAACCCTGTCAAAATTACGAAACTGTACCTTTTCAGTTAGATGCATCTAATGCTTGGTAAAGCCTGTTCTTTGCCATTTGCCACCTTCTTTAAGTTTCAATGTACTGTTAAGGAGAAGCGTATTGAAATTTGATCGAGTTATTGTTGTTTCTTTCTGATTTTGGCTGCACGATGAATCTAATGGGGCAAACAAATAAAATAGAGAAAAATAAAAGTATCTCCAGGGCACTGATCTATTATGTGATGCATCAATATTTTGTCTTATTAAGTCATTTTTCTTGTGGATTTGCTCTATGTCTATGATATCACTTCGTGTTCCTTGAGACTACAGCCATTCAACCCATGAAGCGCTCTAACAGTAACTTTATGACTGCTTATAGTTGCCAATAACATTAACAGTAATATTTCTAGAACAGAGAGTTCCGAATTTTTTCGGTATATGCATGAAAATAGAACATCCACCTAGTTTGGAGGACATCTTCTTTGACAAACATTATATTTAATAAACGGAAGCTCCAGATTTACAAAAACTAGACCTGCAGAAACTAGGAGCTCCAAGTTCTCGCTAGCAGGGATGGTGACTCGCCTTAATAGCATAGCATTATCGTATCATGGTAGATTGTCTAGTTAGGTTATTATTCACACTTCTTGAATCCAAGATTGACCAATGAGGGTTATTGACATGCCTGATTCTGGGATTTAGGCATAATTGTGTATCTAATGCAATGTGCTTTTGTTATTATCTGCAACTCAGACGCTAAATTGGACATTTCTGTTAACATAATGTGGTTGTATGCTTCAGCAATTGCCTTAGTGTTTTTCAAACATCTCTGTGTTTGGAGTAAGCAACAACTCAAGCCATTTAAACTTCCATTAATTTGACTTAATTTAAACCTGTCAGGCCATTGAAAGAGGGCAAAACTTGACTACACTTAACGACAAGGCTGAAGATCTGCGTGATTCGGTAGGTTTGGTTGATGAATTCTAATAATAGCAAGTGTTAATAGCATCTGTAAGGTGTCTGAAACATTGTGTTTGCTTTCAGGCCCAAGAATTCAAGAAAAAGGGGACTCAAATACGGCGGAAAATGTGGTATCAGAATATGAAAATAAAGTTGGTTGTGCTAGCCATCATCCTATTTTTGGTTCTTATAATCTGGCTTTCAGTTTGTCGTGGCTTCAATTGCGCAAACTAGCATATGGCACACAGTTGGTACCAAATTCATACAAATGTAGACTAACAGATCAAAACAGGCACATATGCAGAGGATTTTGCTATGAAGAAAGTAAAGCATCTGTAAAACTTTGTTTCAGATTGTTTCTGAAACCTTTTAAAAAAAATCAAAAGAACCATTTTTTGTCCTGCGTTTTCTTAATTTTATTATAGGATTTTTCTTGAATGTCTCTTTCTTTTTTCGTTATCGGTTCGGGCAGGGAGGGGTGGGAGTATGGCTTCAGGCAGTGGCTATAGGCTTGTAACTGTGTATTCTGTGCTGTGTAAATGGTGACTATGTAAGATATCTATTGTTGGTAGAGGAATCTTGATTCAGTACAGTTATCTATGTGATTGATAAGTAGCTTTTTTGGAATGTCAATGAAATTTTCTTTCTCCTTAATTTGTTGCTATCATATTTTGAGTGAAGTACTTGAACTAGATAGCATCATAGTAAGTAAAATATTGAAAAAAACTTCCGTTTCCTGAAATGAATTTTTCTTAAAAAAAGAACAGAGAAGAGCGCCAATTTTGCCACTGGAAACGAGCATAACTACAATTATTATCTGTAATTCATGCTTCGTAATTTGATATACATGTTAATACCATGCTTCTTTTTTCTTTGGTAACTAAAGAAATTTTATTACTGGACGGAACTATTAAAATTGTTTGGGCTTTTTTTTACTTTTAGCTTGTGCAAGAAACTATTTACATTCGATAGCCGAAAAAAGTGTATAAAATTTGTATAATTTTTGTGTGTATATATATATATATATATATATTTCGACTATTATTTTGAGAGCGGCTATAAAGTATCATTTTTCGAAATTGTTTCCGTGTCAAAACCATTGGAAATAGATTTAGTTGGCATTTGGACATAAAAAATATGAGATTTGAGAAAAAATAGTTTTTGAAGTTAAATTGAAAAAATGCATTTAAAAATTGAAATTGTATTTAGACATATATTTCACTTGAAAAAATATTACACCTTTGTTAGAGAAAAATACTATTGTTTACTTAAAAAAACAGGTAAAAAACACTTTTCCAAATTTGAAACTCATCTTAAAAGAAATTTAAAACTCATCTTCAAAAATTTTGTTAAAATTATAACCAAACAATATTTTGAAGATGAATTTTGAAAAAACAATAAAATTATGGACAAACGGGTACTTGAATGACTCGAAATATGTGCACTTTCACTCCCTTATTTTAATTTTCATGCTTGTTTGCTTCTATACAGCATTCTGGTTCCATTTTCCCTCTAATTTGTGATCGACTTATCCACTCATTTGGCGAATTTAATAGAGTTTATATAAATTAAGCAAAATCTTGTGTCTTTCTTTATTTATAAATGTGAGAGAGAGACAGAACGCAAAGACCAAATTAGAGGCTGGAGCAACGAGTTTCTCGAACATAGGATGATCCGGACCTTCTTGGGATATATTCGATCTTTATGATAGGATGTTGTGCATCTTCTTGAAGTATTTGATTGTTAAAAGTCCGATCACTCTTGATCTCTATATGAATATTCTATGAGTTTATAGATTTTTCGAGATATCGGTGGTTTGATTGAGCAAAAAGTGTAGCAGTAAAAAACCATACTGGGATTGTCAAAGATAAAAATTAACAGTATCTGAGTGTTTACATCAAATCAATCAACACATGACCAAAATTTTTAACCTAACTTTTATTATTTGATGTAAAACGCTTAGTGGGGTAAATAATTACCTTGTGTCAAATAAGCTACTGGAATCAATCTATCAAACTAAATTCCACTTCTCAAACAAAATCTCTCGAAATCGACTTGTTCAGTTACACTCTTCAGTCCATTTGAGCTAATTCTTACACCCCCTCTGAGATAAATGAAAAGCAGAAGGATAATTTGGCAACTAATTATAAATTAATTAAAAATGAAGTGCGGCTATAAACATTAAACTAAAATTCTTGTTTTCTCTTTTAATCTATATCTATACTATATTAAAAGCACAAAGGCCCTATCGAAATGTCGTTCGCCCTTTTTACCCTTCGTAAGTGTAATATATATTGGAATAATTGTAAATGTAATAACTATTTTTTTTTTAAAATAAATAAATAAAATTGGGATTCTTGCCTTTACGTCCCTTTTGATCAGCTTTGGATTCAAATTCCGTTATCTATTTGGTCTTAGTTTAGGACACGTCCCTTTTGATCAGTTTGGGATTCAAATTTCATTGTCTATCTAGTCTTAGTTTAGGACTCAATTTCTTCAAGGTTTAAAACTGGCTGAATTAGACTTCTCCTTTCGTTTCTTCCCAATGTTTTGGAATCAATACCATATTAGGATTGTCCCTTCCGTTTTTACTCTTTGTTTTTGAATCAATTTAGATTTCTAGAATTTTACAACTATAAAAGAAGTTATTATTCTACATTCTTTGTCATAAACTGATGTCCCCATAGCGAATTTGCTTGTCACTTCGGTAAATTTCTATCTTGTACTATATTCTTGAAGTTATGTAATAATTCAACTATATGTCGCATATATGATCATTGATTTATGTCTCATGTATGATCATTGGTTTAAAGTCACTTACAAATGTTGTACAGGTTATTTGGATCGTTGCATTCATCACATAAAATTGGTTAGGTATTCTAACTCATAGCAAGTTAATATTTTGTTAATTTAAAATTTTTATCACTCTATAGTTGATATATAATTTTAATTACTAATTATTATGCCACACTCTATGGTTGATGTATAATTTTAGTTACTAATTGTTATACCAGCTGAAGTTGCTCATATTTTCTCACAAAATTAAATTTATTATCTCTTCTAATTGACTATAGTATACATATTATAATTTTAAAATTGTGTTCTTAAAAAATAGCCCTTGACAATTGGCGTTGTTGAATCTACCCAAAGTTTTGACAATTTTTATTGGTTCAGGTAAACAATTCTCCTTATCGATCTCATAAATAATATTTTATATAATTTTCTTGTTATGATGTAATATATTATGTTCTGAAAGTTATGTAGCTTTCTTGCAGTTGAATTATGATTTTTCTGTTACTCTTCAAAATTTGAGATTGGGATATTCTGTATTATCAATTTACATAAACTATATGCTGATTTAACTGCTTTGGCTTTATTTGATATTTATGCTACTATTGAAAAGTTAGTTTTTACCGTGCATAAAAATTATACCTGATCAATGAGTTGTGTTCTTGTATATGTGATAACAATTTTGAGGTGTGTTCTTGTATATGTCATAAAAAACTTATTAATCCTCAATTTTAGTAGTAGGCACATTGTGGTTGGATCAATATACGCTAGTGCATTAGCTATCCTTATAATAGGTCTAAATATTTCTTTTAAATAAAATTTTTATAATTATGAATGTCTTCTATGACTTTAGTGCCCTTTTGATATTAGACCACCTGTTCGCATTTGATTTCAGGTACTCGCAATGGCAACTGAAACTGAATTTGCAAACGAATGTGTGCTACTTAACAATTTGAGAAGATCTGATTCTCAGTGGATAATAAAAGTCTTACTTATTCAATATGGAGTAGTTAAAGAATTTAAAAATGAAACAAATTAAGGCCTTCAATGGACTCTGACATTTGTAGATGAGGAGGTAATATTATTTTTATCTTTCAATTATATTCGATATTTTCCGTATTATGTTCAATCACTATATTAAATTATGATAAAACTTTACAAGGAACAAAAATGCAAGCAATACTTTTCACTGATCAAGTGAATATGTGGAAGGAACATTTAGAACAAGGCAATATCTATTACATCATTAACGGCCACATAAATGATCGTAAACCTAATTTTCGATCAGTACACAAAGACTTTGAGATTGTGTTCAGTAAAAATACTATAGTCAAGAAATGCAACAACCAGTTTTCCATCGTTAGCTTCTCAAACAATTTCGTTTCGTTCGAAGAGGCTATCCAATGCACCAATGGAACAATATTTGGTAATTTCTTTAGATTCATTGATTAATCTTACATTATGAATAATATTTACTTAATAATTCTTAGTAGTTATTTACATATATTCTCTATTAATATTCTTTTGCAGACACACTTGGTATCTTAGTGAAAGTTAATGCTTCCTTCGGAGATGGTAACAAGAAACGAAGAAAAATAATGCTAATGAACGAAAGGTAAGTTGAAGTTAGTTAACTTATTCATTTATTATCATACATTAACTATCATATTATTAATTGATCGAATGTATTAAATATAGTTAATATAATATTGAATTGTAAAACTCAGGTATGATCGTCAAATTGTAACTTTATGAAGAGAAATAGCAGAAAAAGATGGTGATATGCTCCAAAATATGATGTTTGAAAAACCTATTGTAGCCCTATGTGACATTAAGGGTACAACATGCCGAGTCAACAACAAGAGTTTTGGTCATGACAGAGCAACCAAAGAGACGAAGGGGTGCATACACCAAGAATATTGCATATAAAGAGATATTAGGTAAGATACAATAACATAACATATTATTTACTCATACAATATATTTATCTATAATTACAAATCCTATACATATCACGACCTTAATTAATTGTAGTGTTGGTGTTAGCCGGTTCAGAAGATATTTACCATATTTGAATTCACCTATTAAATCAATGTAATGACACTCATCTTCTCATTTCAGTTTCATGTTCAATCCATTTCAACATCAATTACTATTACACATAGTTCATTCGTGTAATATATAATTTTCTTACAAATAGACGCGGCTTGCACGTGCAACGCACATATCCAAAAATTAATTTCTATAAATAAGCCTCATCAAAGTCCATTAACTAATAAATTAAGTTTCGAACATTATTGAGAGTGATAAGTTTATTCTACAAAGGCATCCGAAGTCATGGCTTGCCAAACTTATCGAACTTCGTAAAATCATCGTATTTACATTATTAGGTTACGTTATTTTTTTAATAACAAAGGCCAACGTCACTTTTATTAGGTAAGGAAAGACTTTTAATCCCATGAAATAATGGTGGGCGCCTGCAAATGGAATAGCATCAATCCATCCCTTTTGCAATATATGCAAAATTAAACCTAATAAATTATTTTAGGCAGATGGAACCCAAAAATAATTCTATAAATGGCTTTCCAAGAATATTAGCTATCTAATCATGTAGAATTTTCTTTATTTTTCTTTGTGGATTTCACAGCATCCATTCTTGTTCCTTTTTCTTTCTTTTTCCTTTTCAAAGTTTAGAATTTTTCTTTATACTTTTGGGTCCAATTGGCACACGTACAATAAGTAAAATCAGAGATGAATCTAGTTTAAATTTAATAGAATTAATATTTTGAGTCCTTTGAAAAAATGAGTTCAAACTTTATATATATACTATTTTTCAA